ACATAGTGCCTCCTAAAGCTGGAGCGAGCCCCTCTTGATGGGCACAAGTCCCCACAGGCCAGAGAAAAGGCCGGGGGAGAGAAAGGGGGAGGGTGGGATTAAATGGATGCATGATCTTGGCATAAGGGAATGCCTTTCCCCTAGAAAGGAGCATGTAGTCTAGGTCTCTTTGTTAATAAGACTAACCGTTTACACCCTTTATTTTTACACTGCCTGCATAAAAATAAACATAAATAAAAATGATCGTTTCTAACATACAGCCTGGGCTTGTTTTTCCTACAGGCCACTTAAATTAGAAAAACACATAGCGTTTGTTTTTCTTTTGATTAAAAGAACTCTTCACCCCTCCTAGGACAACTGAGGTTCTGTGGTTGCAATTTTGTAAACTATATATGCAATAGTATCATTGCGTTTGTAACTACAGAATTGATTTTATGGTCTCTTATAATCAGACTTTTTAGAGCTCCTAAGTGTCCCTGGGGGGTGGAATTCAATTGATGCTCCTTTCCCCAATAACTGGGATTAACATATATTCCTTTATCAATTTCCTTAATGATGGAAATCTTTCTTTAATAAGTCCTGTGTAAGAGGTATCATGTATAGTATTGTCATCCTTAGTGTGTGTATTTTGATTATTAGGGCAAGAAGATAGTAACATTTTTTGGAACACCTAAGTCTTATAAAATTTTAGAAAAAGTCCATAAAATGTAAAAGTACAATCTTAGCAGATTGGTTACCTGAGGAGATCTCAACAAGATCTCATGCTTTCATCTGTTTTGGGTTTTTTTCTGATGAGTCTTGAGGCATCATTTCTTAGAGATGGAAGTAATGCTGGACAAAAAGCTGTGCTCTTATCATAGCTACACTTAAATTACTTTTTTTTTTTTTGTAGCAAATGATGTAACGAACACTCCATCATACTTATAGGTTCACATATATGGACATAGGCACTATCTCTAATTAACTAACTTTAATGCTGTTTCTTCTTGGAGTTGTTTTAATGCCTTTGGGGGGGTGTTACCAGATATGTTAGAATGTGTGTTTATTTACAGTACTTTGAATGCTGCTTTTTTTAACCCCCTTAAAACAAATAGGTGGGAGAAGGGAATCGATGACAGATTAAACTAGATGGAAGTCTAAGATACAAAGTCAGCCCTCTGGTACGCACACAGAATACTAAAATGAGTAGAATAAATACCAATCCTTTGGCCTCACTTAACCTGTGTTGAAAAATATTCATAAGCAGTGCCCTATGACAATACATTGAGGAACAAGATGTTCATGATTAAAGTTGTGATGGTAGTAAAAATTTTTTTTAATCCAAGTTCATGTATAAAATAAGAATTTTTTTAAAGAAAAAGTGAATCAACAGTTTGTCGGTGTCTCTTGAAGAAGTGGATTGTGGTTGGAAGCAACAATTAGGAGAAGTTAGTTTAAACATACTCTTTCTTACCCTTTCCCCCACCATCCCCCTTTTACAAGCAAGCCTTCAGATAAAGCTGTAAGAGAAATACCATTTTTAATTGTCACTAGAAACTACTGCAATGAGAACTTTTTTCACTGCAAAAAACGGTTTTCATAAAATAAAAGTCATAACTCTCCTTACCTCATTTACTGAGTTAATAAACCATCTCCTGCACTCCAGATTTTTGTCTCCTCCTGCTCGTTTTCCTGTAGTACCTTATATTCCTGAGGTGAAATTTTTTCTGTTTGTACTTTCTGACCCACCTATAGATGTAGCAGGATGTTACAAAGCTGGTATCCTTATGTTTTGGGCTGTTTGCCTTCTCTTGGAAAGCATAGTGCGAGAATGACATCACTGGAGATGCACCATACTGTCGTGTCATCCTGAGATGAGATGACTGCTAGAGAAGTTTTATTCTACTCAAATTTGGACTTCCCAAAGGCTTTAGTATGAATTTTGCTTACTTAATGCTGAAATAAGTGTTTCCCATTTACCCTCTTCTCGGGGGGGGGTACTGTCAAGAAGAATGTTTTATACCTTTTAAGGTCACTTATGGAATCCATTTCTGTGTACGTCCTTGTACCTTTTCTCCCTCTAGTCTTTGTGTATGAAAACAGGCTTTCTTAAATCAAAATTATCAAATGGTGTGATGAAGTATATAAAATTTTCCATTTATTCTATGCCATCTGTCCTCACATTCCCTGGTGTTTTTTGTTTATTTACTTATTTATTTTCAAGATTTCCAGTCCTTTATGTTACAAATTTAGTTCCTCCTGTTAGTTTCTGTGTTTCTGTTCCTACTCTCAAAACTTAGTCTTAAGCAGATGATGGTACTTTTTATGTTGGAAACCAATATACTTTTAAATTGCCATGCTACCCCACAATGCCCTTATTAAGTCTTGTATGCTTCCAGATTTTCATTTTATTCTCAGTACTTGGAGTCGTGTACAGAAGAGCATCATCTGCCTGTACCTAACTTCTAATGCGAAGCTGAAATTTAGAAAGTGTCAGTTTGCTGCTACACTTTCTCTATTCTGGAAGCAGTGGAGAGTGCCTGTTGGTCATCTTCAGCTAGCCCCATTTTCTCAGTGGTATTGGCAGAGGAGCACAGCAGCTGAAGTACAGGAACCTCTTCCTAAGTGGTTTGAATGTGGCGTTTGGCCAGGGGGAGACTTGTCATATTTGAGAGATAGCTCATGGTCTTTCTCTTCCTTACTAGCTTACAACTCTGCTCTTCTAACATACTTTGGTTAACATGTTGCCTGGTATTTCCAGCCACCGTCCATAATAAGAATGGATCTTCCAGATAAAGATCATGTTGCCCTTGAGATAAAACACAAACTTTTTGAGGGGGGGAGTGCTGCTCCCTTGAATACTTGGGGCACAAAGGACCAGAAGCAGTTCTTACAAAGGTAGATCATGGTTTTGCATATGGAGGTGGAGGGATGCCTGTACTGTAGCTATGGACATCCTGTGTTGAGGACAGGATGCCTTCCTCCAAGCTTCCTTCATGCATCCCATCCATCCTTCCTTTGTCATCCTTGCTTTCCTTGTGGCAGCGTGACGATGCCACCTACACAGAAACTGTTGTCTGATTCCTGCTGGAGGAACAGCACTGCTTCAAAAAGGGGTGTTCTGGTGGGAGCTGCTTGTTAGTCACCTGAGGGTGGCACCTCAGTAGGGGAGTGTCACTGCATACGTGATCTCCAGCAGGCACAAATGACAGAACTCTGAAACTAAGTTTTTTTCACTTTAGTACTTGAATATTCAATATCTGGTAATATTCATGATGTCCACTTGTCTGCAGGTGTCTGGTTTTCTTTTTTTGAAGGAAAAACTGAGGGTATACTCATGTTAAGTTTAGACATTTCTTGCTCACAACCTGAAATTCTGATGCATTCTCTAGTGGTCCTGTTTTCTCCTCATGTCTTAGTTAAAGAGTGGAGCACAGGGTAGTGGTCGTTTACTTGTAATGAAAACAGTGGACAAGAGAAATATGCCTGTAACATGTTTGCGTTACTCTTCATGAAATACTGTGTTCCTAATGACTAAAAACAGCATGCTTTTTTGTTCTAAAGTAAAATGTTATGTTAAGGGCTTTGTTGTTATATACCAAAACCCTTTCAGAGTTTAGTACTGCTTATGCCTTGAAACTGGTGCTTTATAAATGTATGTTCATTTTTAACTTGTTACAGAGTTTATGATGCGTTTAGGTTATCTGTCTTGCACATCTCATTTTGGAAGATGCATGAGTTCTTTTAGTTTTTCTAATTAACTGGTTTTCAAGTTCACAGTCATAATGGATCTGAAGATTGCAAAGATGATAGCAAATGCAAAACACTGCCAAACTAAGGAGGGAAGAGCACCAAAACATAGTACATAATTAGAAAGCACTAAGTTGTTCTCTTTTCCAGAACATTGATTTGTTTTGTTTTATTTCCTGTCTCCTGTAGAACCTAAATATAAAGTGTGGAAGCTTAACATGGAGTGAAAAGTTATTTGTTTCACTGAATAAAAAAATCTGTCCTTCTCCAAGAAGGATTCAAGGAAAGTTCCTCGGGGGGGGGTGATTCCTCAAGGAATTCATATTGTAAATGCTCCAGTTGTTGAGCAACATCTTAGCAAGATAAACTGTTGTAAACAAATAGATTGTAAGAGGCTTTATGTACATTTGTAAAATATTAATGAGAAGTAACTATTAGTTAATGCTTTTCCAGTATGGGGGAATTTCCTTTTCTTTTACAGCGTGTTTTTAAAAATCAAAGACTCTATGATTTAGTGCTTTGTACAAAGTTGCATCAGTATTGCTCTGTCCTCCTGACAGGTTAGGTAACTTGGACTGCTTCCCTTGCTACACTGAGGTGGAGATGAAGCACAAACAAACAAAACAAAACAAAACAAAGATGACTTTTACACCTCACTACTTTCTACAGCTACACAATTTGGTTGGCTATGAATATTAAAATTACATGGATATGAAAATCAAACTACAGAGAGAGATGAACAGAATTGTTTCTGGCATTGTTGTTAGTATAGTTCCTTGATGAAAGGATCGGGGATGGTGACTGTATTCTACCCTCAATCTCGTATGTTTTTTTGTTACAAGGAAGCCTAAGTTAACACGGTAGATCCTGATACTCCTATGGATAGTGATAAATGTTGTAGTACTAATAGACAGTCATAACTTCTGGAGGACTGTTCCAACACAAGTAGCTCTAAATTTTGCATCCATGCCAACTTCAGCAGTGCACTTTAATGCTCCAATTGTGGTAACCAGGATCCTAATATCCAGTTATGACTGAACCTCATAAGAGCGGTGTTCAAGTTCAGCCATTCAATGTCTTAAGGAAATAATGTGGAATTAATGATTTTTTTCCCTCCTCTTACTACCTGGGCTGGACTTCTTAATATGGTTGACTTTTACTTACTGTCTCATGTATAGTTGTTCTCTAGATCATATTTATAAATACTGAGACTTACTTGTTTCCTTACAGGTGCCACAAAATATACTGATAAAGATAATGGAGGGATGCTTGTATGGTCTCCATATCATAATATTCCAGATGCCAAGTGTAAGTCCTTCCCTGCTTAGGAATTTGGATGCTTAAGTATAACTAAATAATTGTTTCTGGTGTGCCTTTTCACTCTTTATTTTACACACAGTGAAATTGCAAATTAGTAAATTAAACACAAAGCTTCTCTTTTTTTTCTTTTTTTTTTTTTTATTTAGAGAACTCCGGGGAAAGGAAAGATCACCTCTTATTTTATAGTTAAGTCTTTGTTTCAAAACACACTGCCTGTGTTGTATTGTTGTCAGTGTCTGTGGAACCATTAGTTTTTAATAAAAGAATAAAACATCTAAACGTGAGGAACTTGCTGCTCTAAATTTCTAGGAAAAGGAATTGCAGTGGATAAATTCAGAAAAGATGTGTTGAGGCCCAGGTCAATGGGGAATTCTTGTTGCTGTCTCATCAGGAAAAACTGAGCATTTTCTCCCTTCAAAAGTGACCTGAAATACAGGAGTCATCTGACTAAATGTGATCAATTATCTTTTTAATCTAGTTTAAACCTGCCTCCTATGCTAGAATTTCCCATATGTAATATAGGGGAATAAATTTTGAGGATGCAGTCATGAGAACCTGGTCCTCAGGACAGTTTCTACCTGTTAGCAGTAGTTAGAGATTTGTATCCCTCTACATTTGAGGGAACATACCTTCTACTACTGCAGAACAGTTAGAAATAAAATACTCTACAGCTATGATTATTAAACTTTTTTCATTCCTTTAAATTACAATTAACTCTTTGCTGTAACAGTGCATGGCAAGGACATCCCTGGTCCATTTGAATAATGAGATTATAATTATTTCCTTTTCTCAATCATGCTTCCTTTCCACTACCTTTAGTTGCCACTTAATTGTGAACTGTAGAAGGTGAATGGGAAGAGTCTGTTTCTTTAAAAAAAGTACCCACTGAAGGTGAAAACTAGCAGGACTTAATTGCAAAATGATGGAAAGGGTTCAACTCAAAGCTGGCTCTAGTATGGCCAAATATGATTTTAAAAATATGTTATTGGCAAATTTGATGAGCTAATTATTGAATTTTCATATACTCTATTGAAAACTGACTTCATGCCATGGTTAAAATTAATGTTGGCCAGTGAAAACTATATTAATATTGAGGATATGCATGATCAGTGATCTAGGATCTTTTTACATTAATTTTTAACATGTTTGGGAATACAAACAGTAGAAGTAGTTAAATTTAAAACTAACCCAGGTGTCTGGACACCTCCCCAGTGTGTCTGTGTTCTTAGGAATGGGTTCCAAGAAGACATAGCCTTTCAATAATCAGCTAGTCTCTGATTTAAATAAATGAATGATGAGCCTCTGTGGCTTTGTTGCAGTAAAAATGTGAAAGAAAGCATTTTTTTCACTGAGAATTAGCTTCTGTAAAAAGTTAATTAAATTAAATGTTGGATTAAAGATAATGGGCTTATTTATTATTAATAACACTATGAATATAACGTTTTGGGGGACCTGGGCCTATGCGGTGTATTAAAGCATGGGAAAACTGTTTTCCCATGTTAGATGGCTAATTCTGTGTCGCCTTATAGCATAACTAAAAGTACTAAAGAATAATTCTGACATTGCTTTGTTACAGTGGATGAATATATAGCAATAGCAAAGGAAAAACATGGATACAATGTGGAACAGGTAAGTGCTATGAAATGAGAGTGCTCATTTAAAGGATTTTTTAATATAAAAGTATAACACAACTCTTTTTTTTTCCCTTGGTTACCATTAATTAACGCTGTTTCTCTTCAGGCACGGCAGCAAACACTGCAGTTAAATGGATCTGCATACAGTTGTGGTCTGGATTCTCTGCAAAAGATTGAGCTCTTTGTTTTCATGACATGCTCAGCTTGTAATGTGCACTTTTGAAAGGTTTGGTATGTTTCTTGATACACTGGGCATGTCATGCAATTGTGTGTGTATATTTAGCTAAAGAATTTCTTAGGAAAGCAGCTTACAAATTTAATGTTTAATATTAGAATTCAAATATGGTACAAATTTGAGCCATTAATTGTGATACGGACAGCACTGGAAAGGTTTCTTGCTTATTTTAAAAAAAGAGACAAACTAACTTTAAGTGAGTGTTTTTTCAGAGGCAGGAAAACAGAATCAAATTCTAGGTTTGAGAGTAACAAACAAGTTCACTTTTTTTAATAACCTTTAGTCACTGTCCCATAAAAAGTACAGGATAAAACTTTTCTGGACTGCACTTAGTTCTATTGAATTTCCTTCATAAATTAACCGATTTATGTAAAAGTGGGATTAACTATTGCAAAAAAATATTTGGTGTACAAATGGAAGCAAGTTGCATGATCAAGTTTTGGAGGATGGAAGCTCATAATAGCAGAGACTTGCTAGTCAACTGCTACCTGAAAAAGAGCCTGCCAATGTTACGATGTCCAGAATACCTGCAGTTTGGTGATTTTTGTTTATGGCTTGGCTTTTGTTAGGGCAGAGAGAGAAGTGAGGGATCTCAAAATAAGTCTACAAAAAAGACTAATTTTCAGAACAACTTCTGGTACAAAAATAATTGTAGACTGGTCACAGCGGAATAGAAATTATCTTTGCAAGAGGTGCTTGTCACTTGGCATTTTAACAAGAAAAGAGGTTTGCTATGTCCAGGTTATTAGAAGATGTGAAATCAGGGGTTTGGAGAGCTGATGAACAACTGGTGATCATGTCTGCACTGTATGGTTGAAACTGAGTGGATTACGTTTCCCAATTTCCATGCCAGACTTGGCATCAAGTCTGTCATTGATTCTCTGGCAGAAAGTCTAATTGGCATAAAATTCTTTAAGAATATTGAGAAATTAAATTATGTAAGAAAGTATATTTAAGTTTCCATTCCTTATTGGGTGCACATGACATGGAAGTGGCCATGCTGTTATTTGTGGATTGGAGAGTTGTAGAAAGACCACTCTTACTTTGAACTTTCAGGCTTGCATTTTGGATAATCCTTTAGCTGCTGAAAAGTATTTTTATTTTCTTTTTTGAGTGGGCTGTTAGTAAAGGCCTGAAGATCTATAAGGAACTGTGTAGGTGATACATGCTTGTAAAGGAAGAAAGCAGGTCAGATTTGAGCCTATCAGACTAGTTCATGCTACGTCAGAATTACTGCTGCCATGTCAACCTTAAATTGTCTAGCTTTCCTACCTTTAATAAAGTACAGATGTGCCCACTCTTCATACCATCTCCAAAGAGAATTTTGTAACCTGTAGTACCTAGCCAATAAAATTGTAAATACGTTTTGAGAAGGGGTTCTGATAGTCAAATTTTATTTTAAATAAATAAATTGTCTTTTTTTACTTAACTTTTCTCAACATTTTAGAAAGTTGACTAAATCCAAAAAGGGACTATTTCTTTTCAAAGGCTCTCGGCATGTTGTTCTGGCATAAACACAATATTGAGAAGTCCCTTGCGGATCTCCCTAACTTCACTCCTTTCCCTGATGAATGGACAGTTGAAGATAAAGTCCTATTTGAACAAGCATTTAGCTTCCATGGAAAGAGCTTTCACAGGATCCAGCAAATGGTAAAGTAATATTTTAATCAGAAGCATTAAACAGTTCGAATTCACTAGGAGCAAAGGCTCCAGTTGGGCTAAAATTTCATGTTGATTTCTGTGTAAAAGCTTCAGGAACAACCTTGACTATAAGATTTAAGTTAATTTCATCATGTCTCTTGGACTTACAGGTTTTTCAGTCTAATAAAAAAAGCCTTTCTCCCCCTCCCCCTTTTTTAAAAACATACACGAAATACATCCCTCCTTTTCATCTCATCCATGCATTTAAAATACTTGGGTAGAGGTGGTTGTAAATAGAGCAGAATTATAATCTTGGGTGGAATTTTAATTTTTAAAAGTATTAATATGTTAATGAATTCTTCTAGCTTCCAGACAAGACTATCGCAAGCCTTGTAAAATATTACTATTCCTGGAAAAAAACTCGCTCTAGGACAAGTTTGATGGATCGGCAGGCTCGAAAACTAGCTAATAGAAATAATCAAGGTGACAGGTAAGTTTTATATCCTTAAGTAGCTAACCAGAGACTGAAGTCTTTCTAGGTAGAGATGTCAGAGTAATTTTCAGCCATTATGTTTCAGCGTGAACCAGGTTTTTTAGGTTTAAGCATCTGTGATGATGTCTCTGCTTTTAGCGAGGGGTTTGATACTGGTGCTTTAAGAACTATATCACTCCAGTCGGTGCGAGTTGTAATAACACATTGGAGTGCTTTAACGGGTAACTGTAAAAACAAGGGTTTAAAAAACCCTGAAGTCTGGGAATGTGGTTTAGAAATAATGCTTTATTTGAGAAGTCTAACCCTATATAATCGTGTGGGGAGGAGAGTGTTTTTGTGAATGTGTGGGGTTTCTGTTCTGGGTTTTTTTGGGTTTGGGGGGGCAGGGGTTGGACTAGGATGGAATTAAAACTGAAGGATCAACCACTGTAAAGAGCTATAGCAATTAGAATGCCCAAGTACTGTTTTATAGCAAAACTTCATATGAAATCTTATTTTAGGAGACTTAGAACTGCTATCAGTCAAAGAGAATTAGAGCTCAAAATAGTTTTAAATTGTCTTGGATAGAAGGGAATAACATCTCCCCTACTTACTATGAAGTTAAAATTATATTGCACTTAGTATACTTGGGTATTAACTTGTACTTTTTTAAAAGTGATTTAATATGTTGAATGTATAAGTAATATAATCATGTTTATATTGGAAAGTATGATTTTACATCTACAGAAAACTGCCTAGCTAGAGCAAAAGGGTCTATTTAATTATATGTTATTGAAAAGAGTTTCTGAAATCTAAAATTCATATGCTTACTTAGTGACCCTATAGCTGAAAAATTGCAGAAGAAAATAAATTTGCTTCTATATTTAGCATTTTGCTGGTTTTTTGTAATAATTAGAAATTTTTGTGGTGTTTTTACATTCATTTATTCAGAAATTACATTGTGTGAATGACTGGATTGGACTCAACTAAACTAACTGTTGTCTTTTCAACCTTTTTTCTTTGATTTAATTCAGCAGATTTCATTCCCCTCCCCCAAACTGCTAGATCCTGAGCACTTTGGTGAAAAAGCAGTCCTGTGTTTTCCCATCTTATATTGTCCCCTTTTGCTCCCCACAGACTTCAGCAAGGGTTTATTCATCCACTTGGTGCAGTGGTTTGAAAATTGATCTATTAAAACTAACATGGCAAATGAAAGATTATTTCTAGCCTTGGTATAGTTGACCATGTAAGTGTTCATGCTGGCACAAGTGGTTGAATTGAAGAAAGGGTGACACCAAATTTTTTGGCAGCAGTACCAGCACTGCTTAAAGTAATTTTCAAACTACAGTTTAGGATTGCTGTTTATCAAAATAATTGTTAGAATTTAATAAAGGAAATATGGTTGTAACAGCTCACTTTTGAAAACTACAAATAACTTTGAGATACCATATACTTAGATATTTTAGAGTAGATCATTCTGTCTTACCCTGATACATATTTATATTTGAGGTTAAAAAAGATAAAATGACCAGCTTCTTATAATCTGTCCTCAGTGATGATGACGTAGAAGAAGCTCATCCAATGGATGGAAATGATAGTGATTATGATCCCAAAAAAGAAGCCAAAAAGGAGGTAACAGATAGCTTAATGGTGAATGTCAGTTTGTTTGTTTTCTGTGAATGTGTTACTGTGAAGAATATGACTTGTAGTAAAGAGGTTTAGCTGGCAGCCTGCTGAAATCACAGGGGTTTTAGGTGATCAAGATCTTGACAACTTCTGACTGAAACAAAATTTTATCATATATTTTTGCTGTTCCATGGACGTAAATGCATCTCTCATTACCTTCACTATCAACTGAGAGATCTTCAAGTTTTTTAAGAGATGTATGCTATCACTACTTGGTACAACAACATTCCCCCTGCCTTTGTCTTGTTAATATGTTTACAGCTTTACTGGTTGCGTGTTATTGGAATCTAAATGTTTTCTTTGCATTTTAAAATTAAATGACATTTTTCCAAGAATAACTTTTTTTGTTCTTTCAAAGCCACAGTGAGGTTATATGTTTCAACTAATATGTGGCTTTATTGAGACGCTTTCTACTAATAAATGTAGAGAAAAACATTTTTGTCTCCTCTAATGAGCATTTACTGTTAGCTTTACAGATAAGTGCTGTGTTTGGGGTATGTTCAAGTTTTGGGTTCTTTTGGTAAACATTAAGTTATTTATGAGCAAGACTAAAAAAACATGGTTAAGTGTGTAAACATTTGGTTTTTTCCTTGATCAACTTAACATACTTGTGATTTTCCTAAAATGGGACGGTTCATGCTTCTTGAGAATATATGGGAGGAGAGAGAGTGCAAAACCTCAACATTCCCATGAAGTGGCATCTATGATTATTAATAAAACTTTGCAGTTCTACCAAAAATCATGTTGAGTAAGAGACTGATAGGTTTAGATTCCATTCTCAGCTTTGCAGAGACCTTCAATGTATCACTTTAACTGCCTGAGGGACGAGGGGGGACGGACGGACACGGACACAATTACAATTACCCCTTTCTGTAAAAGCATTTGAGATTTTTACTTTTTTTAACAAGCCAGGATATGTTTTTTAGAACCTGAAATGGCACAAGGTCTAATAATGAACCTTTTCACTTTTCATTCTGCTGTTGTAACAATGTTCTTGCAATCTGCTGATTTGAGTTGCTGCCTAAGCCACTTCTAAATAAGGGCTATTCTGTTCAATTTACTTTCCTTGGTTATTGTTTGAATCGCTACACACAGTCCAGAGTGAAAGTAGTGTGTTTGTAGTCTTCTAGGAAGAGGACAAATAGGTTTGAAGTTTTTGATGAGCTATTTGAATCTACCTAGATAATTTTGTGAGCTAATATTTCTGGTAGGATTTGCGTACTTTCACTTCCTAAGCAAAATATAAACCAAGTAGGCTACTTGAACGCACAGAGCAATGGAAACTTTCTGTTACCAGAGAAAACTATAAAACAAGCCAAACACTCTAGCTTGGCAAGACAAAAGCTTGAGAGAATATTTTCACTTTAAATCCAGACTGAACAGACAGAAACTGCAATTTCATACTGAAAGAGCAATGCAGAACGAAAAGACCAATGGAATAAATGGGCCAGAATTAAACTTGGGATTTTTAGATGTCAGAGATGTAAGGCTCTATGTCAACTTTGCAAGGAAGAGCAAATATCTTAAGTGCTTTTAAGATGGCCTCTATGAAGTCTGTGGACTGGATTAAGACGTTACATTAGCTGGGAAGAGAATGTGGCAGAAGGTCAAGCATAGTAGAGCAAAGTACTGTTTGCTGATCTGTACTAATGCTACAGAACATAATAATAATGGCTGCTGCGGTTTGTTTTCTCTTCACTGTGATCAGATGACCACCTCCTCTTAACCTGCATGGATGCCAGCAGGGAGGAGCAGTAGGGAGCTGCTTGAAGTAGCAAAAAGCCTGAATCCCATCTCTGTTCTGGTACTAAGCATTGCTTTGAATTGGAAAATCCTTGCAGGGAAAGTAATTTTTGCTTCTGTACTCCTGGTCTGTAGGGAACCTACCCGGTTGCTCTATGGGAGTCACATACATGCAGACTAGCTCTTGTGCAGCAATGCCCATTGAAGACAAAGCTGAAATTTTTGGGTGTCCAAACATACCGAAACAGCAGTTACAAAGACTTCATCTCCTCTTTGCTATCCCTTTCCACTTCAAAAAAGCAAACAACAAAGGCTTAAGCTTGCTAAATTACATGGATTTTTACAATGACTGCAGAAGTACATCCATCCTTTCTCTTCCAAATCTCAAATCCCCTCCCCAAACAAACAGCACTATCACTTTCCATAGAGTGCTTGCAGCAGGAAAAAGTGTCATCTTGCATTCCTGCCTGTCCTGGTTTACTTTCTCTCATTCTTCTCCCCTGATGTTCACCTGGACTCTTCGTATCTGACCAGAAATAAATGTGTAAATTCACTGATTACTTGGTTTAAACGTGTAAAATATATATATATTTTTTACCTTCTGCGTACGTAAGAGGTTCTCAATTTTTGCCCTCTTTCGCAGTATTCAGACTGTGATTTCTATACTATTTATTGTATTTTCAGCCATATTTAAAAAAAAATAATTTGAAAACTGACCTTTCTAAGACTAATGCAGGCTTATCCAGCAAATGACTGGTATGCTCCATCAGCTTATCTGCAAGACTTAGTTTGGATACTACATGGAGAGGAGGATATTAGTTTGGGTTTTCTTTGTCATAAATATGACATTACAATGCTATGCGATTCTTTATTCTTTAATAAAGTTGTGTACAAGATATTGTTATGCTTTAATGATTTATTTCTTGTAAATTAAAGGGCAATAATGAGCAGCCTGTTCAGACCAGCAAAATAGGTCTGGGTAGAAGAGAGTATCAGAGCTTGCAGCATCGCCACCATTCTCAGCGTTCCAAATGCCGTCCACCAAAAGGCATGTACCTGACCCAGGAAGATGTGATAGCTGTTTCCTGTAGTCCCAATGCAGCCAACACAATTCTTAGACAGCTGGATATGGAACTAATCTCATTAAAGCGACAGGTACCATGGGTTATTGGTCTTGTTTTGTTTTCATCTCAGATTGTTCTGATTGTAATGATTTTGAAGATTATCTGTGAAGATTCTGAAACTTCTTTAATGTGAGTCTTCCTAATTTTGTTCCACAGTTATCACCAGAAATGTTGGACACTAGCTGACTAGCTATTCTTCGGTTTTGTTTTTTATGTTCGTCTGCTCTTGTGGATAACATGAAACAAGATGACTTCCTTTAAAAAAAGGGGGGGGGGAGTAGGGGGAGTATGGCATGAAAACAATGTTACAGATTTGGGGAAAGTCACATTTGATTTGATTTTTTTTTTCTTTTTTTTTTTTAACTTTGTTAAAAGTATTGGTATGACAAGTGAGAATAAGACCAATGAAGCAGAGGAAGTTACATTTGTTGCGCTTAAAATTGTAGCTGCTTTTCTGGATGTCCTTCCCTACCTACCATGAAAGTATGAGGGGGGGAAATCATGGGCCTAGTTACTCCTGTGTTTTAATTGATGAGCTTTCTACTTCTTATTAAATTTAGAAAAGCTTTGTAGTCTTCACCTTTAAGAGGACAATTGCCTGCGTTCTTTGCATGAAGAAGTTAACTTTTGGCACTTAAAGTTGAAACACAGAGTCTATTCAGCTTCTAAGGGTACGGCATTATGTGCATGCTTGCTTTCTAGGAGCGGTGGGGCTACAAAGTCAAGGCTTATCTCCTGAAATTTCTGCTGCCTTATAGACCGCTAAGAGCTGCCATGTTGCAAAATCATGGAGTGAATAAAGGGTTTCATGGGGTTTTTGCTCCCTTGTATTCTTTTACAGGAGAAATATGCTTCTTTCTGTCACAGCAGGACTCTGGGGCTAAATAGCATAGGTGGGTTTCACTCTTTAGCCTAAGTGTAGGTGAGTTACAGCCTTGAGGTTGTGTTTCTCTTTTTTTCTTGCAGTGATCTCAGAGATGCAGCCTTTGGAATCTCCCACTGAGTTGTCTGCTTTTGTGTCCATACTTAAGAACACTTGTAATAGCTGTGCACCGTAGTATGCAAAATTATTTTCTTACCTATGTTACCTTATGTGCATCGCTGTCAGGTTTAAATGGTTAATAGATATGTATACGTACGATTTGGAAGCTCTCTCCTTTTTATAGACTAAGATATTTTATTTAAATATTTTAAATCATTTCAAGAATCACCCTTAAAGGAAATCTAAGGAAGATCTAAGGTTAATAAAAAGCAGTCTGTCAGAAGGAACTAACTGAAAACGTCTCATAAATCTTTATTTGTTTTTTCAAAGTGCTTTTTGGAGAAGGAGGAAGTTAATGTATACGGTATATCTCACTTAGATTTCTAAGAACCAAGTTTTGTGTCTAGAATATTCTGCATTCTTCTTCAAGAACATATGCATCATTATCAAAACTTGCTTGTTATGTCCTGCTTCTAATATTTCTGCAGACAAACTGTTCTTTTGAAAGACTGGCTTAAATATTTTTCTTTCTGTAGTAAACTGTGCTGTATTTTTTTAAGTTTTTGTTTGGTTTTTTTTTTTTTTAACAGTTAAAGTAGTGAAGCCTTAAACCATAATATTTCTCTTTCTAACTTAGGAGGTACACTTGTGGCAATCCTAGTGAAGATATATGTGTAAAGTGACCAACTTTCTTTGTGGAGCTGATTAACTTTGTTGTTTTTGACCAAGGTTCAAAATGCTAAGCAAGTAAACAGTGCACTTAAACAGAAAATGGAAGGCGGGATTGAAGAATTCAAACCTCCTGAGGTAAATCAGAATAAATATTAGAATTTGTGGCCTTGCACTTACATTAGTAGGAAGCTGCAGAAAAGTGTTTTGCTGCAGCATAGTGTTTGCATTTCAGCAGCAGCTTAAACAGGATCCATTGAATTACATGCAGGGGTGAGTTTGGCTTCTTTATAAGAAATTAGTGGTAGGCTTTTTTACAGCAACTGGCTGAACAAAGAAGCAGAAAAAAAATGAAATTTCATGTCTGTTCATAACAATAGGGAGCTGAAATTGAGCCCTGATATATGGGGGGGTGGTGTCTGATTAAAAGTAGATCATGTAGATTGCTAGCAGTAAATTCTATGTTCTGTGTAAAAATATGACTATATATACATTTGGGCAACCGAAGTGAATGATTTATTACTACTGAAGTTCTCTTTTTGCTTGTTTTAAAGGCTTGGATATGAAACATAACGTGAATGCGAAACACTCCAGACACCAAGTCCTAATAGTTTAGATAAATGTAACTACAAATTCAAAATCTGTCTGTATAAAGATCATTAGTTTTTGCATAAGTTATTATATAGCTGATATTAAGAACTGCAATAAAACAGAGGCAAAACTATTGGTGTAGTTCTAAGCTCAGATCCTTAAATGCTACTTCTCTTCATGAAAGCAATCTTAAACTATAAATTTGTGGCTTATAAGCAAGAGATTTTTACCTAAGTTACAAAATGTAGTGCAAGTAAAACACATTCTGATGCTCAGATATTTTGTAGCTGTTGAAACATTTTAATGATCTTTGTGCCATTTTTTTAATTTTAATAGTCTAATCAGAAAATCAATGCCCGTTGGACCACAGAAGAGCAGCTTCTTGCAGTACAAGGTACGTTAATAGTAGTAGCGACTTGAAATCTGATGCACAGGATTTGAAGAGGTACTCAGGCTTATGTCTGTATTTCTCTCTAATGAAAAGCTAAACTTTATCTGGTCTTACAAGAAAGTCACTAGGAAAACAGCAAAACTAGTGAGAATATTTAGGGTATTCATTCAAGCAGTGTGACACTAGTCTTTCAGTTACCCATGTTAAATCTTGAATAGAAAAGCTTAGCTGGGTTTAACAGCTGTAGTAGTACCGAAAAGTCCTTTCAATCATCTTCTAAATCACCTTATGTCAATTTCTCTGAAGTGGAAGACTGAAGTAATAGTTGAAATAATAAAATTTGAAGCAAACACTTAAGACATCTCTCTGTGTTCTTAAAGTAGGAAAAAGCAGAAGTAAAACTGCTTTACAGTTACTTTTCTCTGTTCATGAGGGAATAAAAGAGCAGATATCTACCCAGTGAAGGCCTTTTAAGAGTTTGAAGCTGGATGTGGATACTTGACTAATGTTCTTATTGGAGAAAAAACATTTTCTAATAGGCTATTGATACAGCTAATTTGAAGTTATTTCATTTGTTTGAAGGAAAACTGACTCTTGTCTTGCTTTAACATGCACTGCTTAATCAAGGAGCACGCAAGAGAAATAACTGGAGAGCCTAATGCTCTGTTGAAGACACTATGTATTGAGTCACTTCTGTGGATCATCTTTTTTAAGATAATATAATTACCTCAGTTATACACATCTGCTTTATTTCTCTATATTCTTCACCTTTAAAATGAAAGACTGAATTCTAGTATAAAACTTTCAGTTGGATCAGGATATCAGTGTAAAGTTGTCAGGTATGCCATATCTCGTAGTTATTAGCCAGATGGCTGAACCTCGAGTTAGGTATATTTTGAAGTGTGAATGGAAATGCTGAAGAGCATGGTGTGTCTGAAGTAATGACTCTCAATTTACATGCCTCAGACTGGGATTTGCATCTCCAAACCATTTTCTGTCCTAAGTTCATCCTCAGTACTGCTAACGAGCTCATTTTTTTTTGTTTTGTTTCCAAATGCAACTGAAGGAGATGCCTATCTTTAATATGATAGTCTAGTAAGTAGAATGCTTGCTGGAGGAGTGGGGAAAATCCAGGTTCATTGTGCCTGCCTTAGCATGAAAGGATTCAAACCGTCTTGCATTTTCACAGTTTAGTTATTGGAGCTCTCACTAAGTGTCGGTTTGAGAAGCGATAAGAATGCATTTAGCTTTTGTTAAGCTATGGCATTATGAGACCGACAAGGTAAATAATAAAACTGGAGCATGGGCAAAAGAGAATGAAGGTTGGTGATGACTCCCTGGAGAGGAGTTCTAGTCTTCTGGTCTCTTCTCTAGGGAATGTCTTGTGTTTTGTAAAGGTAGTCAGCCTCAACATTTAAGGGTGGGGTAAGAAATCAGGCCTTCTGGAAGAAACCTGTTTTCATTGAATTTACATGTGTTTCTTATGTATTATGTTTCCTTTTTAGTCCCTTTCCTTTGCCACTGTATAATAAAATGGAGATGGGAGAGAACCTTAATACCAGGAACAAAGTATTCTTATTAGCCCGTCCTTACCTACTGCCTGGTAATAGAGTCTTCCTCCTGGAATGACAGTGCTGTAGGTATTAACCTCCCGTCCCTCAGGCTAAGGACCTTGATCTCTTGCTTCAAAATATTTGCTTGAGCTAGGAGACCTATGCATGAAGGAGCCAAGCTGTCTTTTGCCCTGACTCTGTTTTTAGAAGAAAGTAGCCATGTTTGCCATACTAAAAGCTACCATAATGCGTGTTAGGATTGAACTTGGAAGTTGACTTAAGCATGGGGACATTTAGTTTGTACATTTAAAACAGATTTATTTCATCAAATGTATTGATATATTTTGGCATGTTTTAATAATTTTACAGAAATCATAAGCGTTAAGCAGGTAGGTGGCACTTCTGTGATTTGTTCACTTGAATTCAGACATTAAATCCAACCATGGAAATCATAAAAATGATCTGCAGTAATATAATTGTGGCACTTTTTTTCCTAAATGTGAAAAACCTCTTGTCATCTGTGGGTAATCTCAAGAAATTGGCAGTAACTAAAGAGGAGGTAATGAAAAAACCCACATTAAAATAGAGCTGAGTGTGTAATCTTAAAAGCAGTGTGGCTGCCTGCAATGGGGTTGTGGACTCAGACTTATGATCTCTGAGCCGATCTTTTGCAGTATAATTTATCAGGTTACTGTTCAACTTTGTCTGAATAGTTATTGAATGTAATGGGCCAGTTCATCACTTGAGGTGTTCTTAAGTTACAAACTTTATTTATGTATAGGAATGTATGAGCATGATCATCTTTTCAAACTAAGATCTCAGCCATATGAAAATTGCAATTGCAAAAATGTTTTAAGACTTGTTCAAAACAACAAAATTTGAATTGAAAAGCAGTGCATGGCTTTCATAGCTTTGCAGTGGAATATAGTTGGGATGACCAGGATCTAGCTATGTAAGGTAGTTGCCAGGAGCACTGTAATCCCATCACAGTAAAACTGCAGCTTTCATAACCCAGAGGTTGCTGTTAACTATTTCTGCCTCATTGTGGTGCTCTATTATATTGCTTTGGACCCAGGCTAATGTTTTGTGTGCCTCTCGGTGTTTGCTGTGCTGCACAACGTTCAGCGGCATAGACAGCATCGAACTTCCATTTATGAGTTTCTCTGAGTTAGACTTTCAAGATGAAATATTGTAATAGTGAGCATATACATGTTCAAGTGCTCCCTTGCAACTGGGCGAAGTTTTGAAGAGCTTGAAGGATTCCCATGACCAGGGGTACTGTCAAATGAGCCAGGAGAAACACATTCACACATGTGAAGTGAGGCTATGCAGTCATCTTCTTTGAGCTTCACTTTCAGCAACCTAATAAAATTATTCTTACTGAATAACAGATTAAACACTTCAGAAATAATTTGGGTGGTGTTTAGCACAGAATTTGTATAAGGATGTGTAAGTAATGTGCACCAATTTGAAAGGGATGATGGGTTGGCATCAACTCTTACAGATATGCCAGCACCTTATGCATAAAACTTTCATAAACATGTATTGAACTTCCTCTGTTTCTGATGCAGCTTAAAAGGATTTTACTACATCATTGTGTAGGAGTCATTGTGGTGATGCTAGAGCAGCACTAAATAACACTGTAGAATCCAAAATGAGTAGTGCTGCCTGTAGCTAAGGAAATTTTGTTTTCTTTAGAAATTTCTTATAGTTGGGCTCTCAGTAAAGGCAATATACACTGTTTTCAAGCTGTTTGCTTGGAAATAGGCTTTAAGACATTATTTTCAACAACTTTAGTTGAAGTTAGCCAACAAGCTCAGTTGCTTTGCAGATTAAGGGGAAGGAAGAAGTATAGACAGCACAGTAACAGAAAAGGCTGAAATCACTAGAAGTCTGAATTAGGTTTGAAACAAAAATGTGCTTTGTTCTGTTGGGCACTTTGTTCACTTGATTAATTTGTACAGGATGTTGAATATGTTGCACTGGACATTTAATTACCATTATAAATTAGTAAGGGTGGTAGTGGTAGGGCAATCAAAGAATATTAAAACACTGGAGGGAGTGCTCTGTGGGTGCACACAGCGTTTAAGGAGTATAGCTGATACCTGGTACAACTGATAAAGCACAGAGCCAAATCCCTGTCTTTGCTTTGCCTAGATACATGCCCTCCCACGTGGCTCCGCTAGGTCCTTTTGTTTTCTTTCCAAGGTTCTTGCAGTCAGGATGGTTGGATTCTTTTGTATGCCCCAGAAAAGATCTTAAATAATGTAGCTGGGCTCTTGACAGTTGAAACATCAACTTCAGCTACAGAAATTGTTACTATCCTGGAGCTGAACTTTTCTCTTAAATTACAGTGAGTGTACATTACCACATCAGAAGTGCCTATTAATGAAGAAAGTAGAAAAGAGCAGAACAAGCTGAAGGTCATACTCTTCACAATTAAGTTGAAAAGGAACATAGCTTTCAGATTTGAAACAGCTCTCTCTTTCTGAATCCTTTGCTTCACTTTCTGAAGTAAGGCATGAAATCAGGCATAAATTTCTTTTCCTGTAATGAGACAGAGTGCCTGTCCTCTAAGCACTGTAATATGTTCCGAATGAGCTTAGTTATAAGGAGCTTCACAGAAGTCATCAAATTGTAATTCACTCATGCATAGCTGAGAGCAAAAAAATGAGTCTTCTGTTTATTCAGTCTGGAATAAAACTCTATTTCTTTTAGTCTCCAAACTTTTGGACACTTGTGATTAAAAATATACTTTGTGCAGCTAAAAGCTGTGTTCTAGGATGCTGGAGAGTTTTAGGATTTTTTTCTTGAGGTGGAACTAGACACATACCCTAAATACAACTGAGAGAATATCAATAAACTTTAGGTTATAATTCCACTTTTAGGTTAAAAACGATGGAATGTTGTACTCAAGAGGGGACGGGGGTGGTGTTAGATGCAAATGTAGTTTTAGAACTTCAAAAAGTATGTGTTGGGATTTTCTTGTGAAGTATTTTCTTGTGAAGTTCTTGTAAACAAAAGTGACCTACTGATGTCAACATGAAAATGAATGAAAAGACCAATGCAAAGATCTTCTGTAATGCTGCTTCTTGCTGGAGGATTTGATCCTGGAGGCTTGTGCTGGGCTGTCTTATAAACAGACACCAATAGCTTATATTTACTTACATTACCCAAAGTGGTTGTCTCAAAACCCCAGATTCTTCTACCCAGCTCAAATGGTGAATGAAAGCTTTAAAAAGACTTTGTCAGGTGAATGCTTGCCAGTTGCTCTTTGTAGCCTCAGTAAAGCATGTCACAGGTGCAGGAATGAGCAATATATTGTGACTTACGGAACTGTGCCCCCCGTTCTGCCCTGTGCTTGGTCCAGTAGCTACTGCATTCTACCACTCCTGCTGCACAGGTTGTGAGCAAAGAAACATCTGTGTGCAGCTGGCACAGAGGGAACCTATAGAAGCTGTCAATGTTTGTCACTTAACATTTCTAGTGTTATACCCTGTTTACAGCTATACACACATGCTCGGTCACCCTCCCTCTCCTGTCTTGAACTTGTCGAGGGCTTCTGCCCTTGCTGCAAGCACACTGAAGGATTTACTTTATTTGTCAGAGGTCAGATCTCTCTGGTTTTAGGTTGGGAGGCTTGGTGAGTAAGCCAGGATCTTTAAGAAGAGCGGGTAACGACCTTTTAATAAAGTTCTTGATTTGTATGCTGATAGCTGTGCAATTAAAAATTATTTTGTTTTAATGGAAATTGAGGCCTTCTCCTAATTGAGAAGTCCTCCTAATTAGCGAGCCCTTGGTTTGCAGGTCCCATAGGTTCTCTCTATAAATACATCACACGTAGCTGTGTCTGACTGATTCTTCACAGCTATGTTATTTACTTTGCCTTCCAGGTGTCCGAAAATATGGTAAAGATTTTCAAGCTATTGCAGATGTAATTGGCAACAAGACTGTTGGCCAAGTGAAGAACTTCTTTGTAAACTACAGGCGTCGGTTTAACTTAGAGGAGGTATTGCAGGAATGGGAAGCGGAACAAGGAACCCTGGCTTCTAATGGTGATGCTTCTGCTTTAGGGGAGGACACAAAAAATACTTCTAATGTGCCATCAGGAAAGAGCACTGATGAAGAAGATGAGGTGTGTTTTGTGTACCAGAAATAAGTAAGCATGGGTTGAGGAACAGCATTTTATTTAGTGATATAATGTAAGGTTAACTGGTGTGGAGTGGCAAACTGCATTCTAAAGAATGATGATGAGCTTGCATAGAACTTCAGCCAATGTCGTTAACCAGCTGGGAGCAGGACTGCACCTTTCATAGTGACGATCATGTTACTGTTAATTGTTAAAATACAGTTCTTGTTCTAGAAGAAGACTCTTGCTTCGTAAATATTTTTAGTTCTGCTGTCTATAATGTTTTGGTTGGTGATTTCTTTTCAGTAACTTCTCAGTTTTTTTGTTTTGTTTTTTAAATGCTGTTTCCTGTGTAGTGGACAGTGGCAGCCCAACTGCGTTACGTTCTGGCTGGGATGGCTGTTCACGCAGTCTTGTCTTTGTCCTTTGTGCAGGCACAAAGCACTCCGGCCACTCAGTGTTTAGGCCCTTCACCTCCAGCACAGGCATCTGCTCCAGCACCTACCGCTCCCATCGCAACTTTAAATCAACCACCCCCGTTACTTCGTCCAGCGCTTCCTGCTGCTCCTGCTCTCCATCGTCAGCCTCCACCACTTCAACAGCAGGCGCGATTTATTCAGCCAAGGCCGACTCTAAATCAGCCTCCCCCACCGCTCATCCGCCCAGCTAATTCCATGCCTCCTCGTCTAAATCCAAGGCCAGTGTTAACCACGGTTAGCGGCCAGCAGCCACCCTCGCTTATTGGAATTCAGACAGAATCTCAGTCCACTCTGCACTGAAGAAATAAAGCAGAATTATGCTAACTCCTACATTTGAAAAATTGTATCAATGTACTTTTTTTTTTTTTTTTTTTTTTTTTTTTTTTTTTCCCCCCCCAAATAATGAAGGGGAGAAAAGAGCAAGCCTTCACAGGTATCAGACCAGTTTTACAGAGGAGCAAGCTAATAACTAGAAATGGAACCATGTGAGTGACCACCTGTATAAAAATATTTTTATGTCGAAGACTTGTACAGCAGAACAATGCCTACAATACAGCCCTCCTCTATATGAATAACTGTTGAAGGAAGTTAACTTCTTAAATGAATAAATGTTCAAGACACCAAGATTTTGTTTAACTGATTTTTACTCTATTTATTTTATTACAGTTCTTTGTAGTCAAGCATCTAACTACAAGAAAGTAGTCTGGCAAATCTAGGAATAGATAATATTGTAGGAGACTTAAATGTAGCATTGGTTTTTTTTGTGTGTGTGAAATTTTTTTTATTTTTTTTTTACTACTTAGTGCAAAAAAATAATGGCCTTAGGTTCAGAATTTTTGGCCCTGTTTAGATAACAGTAGAAGCATTTCACGCACTTGTAAAATGTAGGTGTTTCTTCTCTTCATGTTTTTCCCAGAACACTTTTTCTTGTTTAAAAATGTACTGTCTTATTAAATACTCATCTGAAAGAGTATTCTGAAGACTCAATAAGCTATTGTACCAAACTTACTAAATCTCGTGCGTGTTCTACTCCTAGAAGTTGGCTGAAAACAGGAGTCCGGTTTCCTGCTGCAATATCTCTTGTGGGCTGGGGTGGAGAGAGAGGCAGCAACTTCCACCACCCCGGGGGATGACAGGAGAGGAACCATATAGCAAGAACCATTAATTTAACTCGTTATTCCACTAATTCTTCTAATTTAAGTACAGTAGAATTTAATTCCTCTGAGAATGGCTGTCTGCAGTTTGTGTATGTTAGATCATTGATATCTTGCCTAAAATTCATGAGGAAAGTATAGAGGCTGATGCAGGTAGTAGAATATTGTGGCAGTAGAGTTACCTGCTGCCAGCCCAGTCTTACTGTTAGCAGAAATCAGAGATAATTTATTTCTGGCAGAGTTGATTAGCTGGGGTTTGAGGCTACTGTGGGGTTTTTTGTTTGTTTTGTTTATTGACTAAGTAAAATCTGCATTTGAGTATTAATTATTGCTTCCAGATTTTAGGAGATTGAAAGGTTTTCTTTCCACTGTATTCTTTTCTGAAACCTTGATTTATGCCCAGCAGTATTTTGGAGGTGGTTGGTTTTTTTTTTTTAGTTTGGTTGGGGTTTTGTTTATTAAAGTAGATGCCTCTACCCTCCAAGTAAACCAGGCTGCAAATTTGAGTAGCACTGTTTGAAACTGTGTGATCTGAATCAAGCCATTGAAAAAATATTGCATTCTTGACTATGTAATAATATTCATGTTGACTGCCATACTATTTAGAAAATTAGTTTTGCTTATAGCTGAAATGATGTTTGAAAATCCTTTTAAATCCATTCTGTTATTAACTAGATTTGCCCTTGACTAAAATGAGACTTTATTTGAAAATGGAATATGCTCTCCCTAGGCTTTTTCACAGATAAATTGGATGGTCTAACAATCAGTTTAGCAGCTGGCTAAGGCCTTTTTTATGTGCAAAGGGAAGTTCTTACAGCATCAGATCCTATTTCATTCGTAAATCTAGTATTAAAGTTTGATAGTTGTGGCCTGAACTGCAGTTAAGGTGTTGACCTTTATGGTTCAGTTCTTCATTTAAAAATATTTTCAGATCAAACTTGAGAGATTTTTCTTTCTGAACAGTTTTCACTGGTGTGCCGAGGTCTCGTACAAAAGGTCTTTCTTACAAATTCTCTTTTGCATCAGAGTAGATGCTTAGCCGCTACATGAGCATCAGATGACCTCTCGTCTAAGAAAAGCAGCGTTGTAAAATAAGCACCGAGGAATTCATGGTCACTGAAACTTGTGTTCTGGGAGTCATAAGTGTTCCCTCACCAGCTATACACAAATCTGGCTGCTCTCCAGACTTTAAAACCAATACAAAACCGATCTGGTACATTTTGACATCCTAAGTATTTCAGTTTAATTCTTAACAGTGATAAGATACATCTTCAGGATTTTTTTTCTTTTTTTTTTTTTTTTAGCATTGAGTCTCCCAGGTGTATGTATTGTACCTTCGCTAATTTTTGTCTTTGTCTCTTGTCGATAGACTTCAGTATGCAGAATGTTGGGTGTTGCAGTACAGTTGGCCACCACCAACTGCTATAAAACTGTTCAGTACATTGTAATTCCGTTTAATCTTGTTTAAATATTCTATAACTGGGCAAAGGTGCTGTATTTGAAGGGGGGAGGGAGGGTCAGAGATAGGTAGTATTTCTTAATTTACATACACTGTAGCACACAGTAGGGAACTCCTAGCATTTGTAGTACTAAATAAGTATGTACATAGCAAAATGTCTTTATTGTGTGCTTTGCAGAATATGTGCATACAGTTTGCACGTCCTGTTTTGGGGGGTAGGGTTTGTTTTAAGCAGTGTTTGCCTGGAGAGTGATATGCTTGCTGCTTAATCAAAGGATTAAAGTTTCAAAGAAATCTGTGTCTTCTATTTTTATGTACCTTGTAATGGTCTAATATGTTAGGGCCCTTATACTGTGATTCTCTTCTAAATTCATTTATATTTTTTTAAGAATTAGAAATAAAATTATACAATGGTGTTGATTTCAGTGGGGAATTTCTTTTGCCATATCTAGTCTCCTGTTTTGTAATGTAGTAATGAACTCTGACTTCAAGGTTGGCTTAATTTTGTCACTTTAAAAAAATGTAAAATGTTTGCACACTAAAGTTTGGCAGAGAACATGTATCCTACATTGTTCAAAGCTAATGTAATTCTACAGCTTTTTGTACAGTTTATTTTAGTTAATAAAGCAAAACGGTACTAAAAAAATGACAGATTTTACAAATGCAAGGCATAATCTGAATGACATGTCTTCTAGGAACAACACTTGCAAAATATGGATGTACAAGAACTACCAGATTTAATTGTTGCACTTTAAATCAGAATGGGTATGAAGTTAAGCAGGTATTTCTGCATTAATAAAACAATCACTAAACATTTCACATCATAGTAAAGCAGTTTAATTTGTCTTACAGTTGATGGTTAGCAAAAGGAATTATAGTTACCTCTGTCCTTAGGTTTTTGTTTTTCTTTATATTGTTGGGATTTTTCTTAAATCATACAGTGTTTAGTCTGGAAACTTCACAGAAAACAGAACACAAACCAATAGCTTATATATGTGGGAGTTTGTGGATGAATAGAGCAGAATTGCAGCTTAGGATGAAGGCTACTGGAATTATGTTGTGCCTCTTGCTAGCAAAAGAAAGGAATAGACTGAAGTTACAGCTGATGCTAGGCAGAAATGTGGTTGTCGGGCAAAAGCAAAACCAGGGCAAAGACAAACACCTTGAAATTGCTTTTGTAGAGGTGCGTTTCAAAATGCAAAGGAAGCTGTAGAGGAGTTGGCAGCTGTCACAGCTCCAGTGCAAAATGGTGCACTGTAAATTTCGCTGAATACAACTAGGTGGTTTAATAAATGTGGTGAACCTTCAGCTTTTCCTGAGATTGAAATAGCTAAACCTCAGAGTCTGCCTTTCTCTGAGCGAGTTAAAGGCAGGCACTGTTGTGATAGACATTTGCTTTGAGATCACAGGAAGTTGTATGTGAGATGATAGGCAAATATAAACTCTTTAACACAACTTACAGTCTGTTACTGATGAATTAAGCATCAAAGGAGGAGAGGCAAAATACACAGGCAAGAGTATCTGGACTGTTTCACAAGCAACTGGCCCATTTTTCATAAGACATCCTTAAAATTTGATACTCAAGTGCAACTTTTTTTCTAAAGTTGCTTCATTTTCACCACTAGTGAAGGTTACTACTTTGCAGTTGTGTCAATTATTCTTTAATCTTAAAGCTCTTTTTCAGTGTAGTTTTGTACACTGAAATAATTATAGCAGCAAAATAAATCCTCATTGCTGTTACTGACTTGGAAGTTTTCCCTTGGACTGGCACAAAAGGAAGCACTGAGCTTCGGGGATTGTGATCTCTACTGCTGCTTCAGGGATATGACTTTATCTTAATGCAAACCAGACCTCCTGTTATGCTCACGGAATCTTAAAAGAGTTTTGATTTTAAAAGTAATGCCTGCACCCTGATATTCGATGATCCTTTTGACAGATCTTTGTCACCACAAAGCTCATTTCTGGAGAATTATAATGTTCTGCAGTAGGAGGATCACGAATGCAGCAAATGTCTGTTCTTGGGAACCCGATTCCCATCTCCAAAGAAACTATTCATTTATGTTTGAATATTTACTTACAGAAACATAATGCCTGTTGTTCTGGTGGATATTCCCACAAAATTCCTGGACAAGTAGTACCCAGACCGATCGGGATAGTCCTAAAAGCTAAGGAAAAAAAAAAAAAAAACAGTCCTCAGTTCTAGCAAGAGGGAGTGTTTTAAAAGGTCTCTGTCATAGTAATGGCCTCTACACCTTTGCTGGACTCCCAGAATCAATGTAATATGGACTGACACCCTTGGGAGTGGCAAGTCTTGAGTCATTTTAGCAAAAGAAGAATCTTTCTGAAACCATTCTATTACTATTATTTTTAGAGCTCATCTTAAGACAATCCAGATAGCACAGCCTAATTGTTTCTTTTTCAGGTTTATTTTTTGTCAGCCTTAGAGCTTTTGTTCATGTGCTAGTATGGTATTTTCCTTAAGGACTGGTTTTCCTAGAAGTGGTTTAATGTGAAAGACAGAACAAAGTGCAGCAGCAGGTGATGGGGAGCGAGCGGTACAACAATTGCATCAGTGCCGTTGGCTGGAGGATGGCTGTGTTGCCTGCGTTTGTAAAAAATCCTTTGGGATGTCTTGAGTAATTAGCAAATAATACTGGCATGTGGTAATAGCTAATGTCTGTGTTCTTTGCGTATTTAGCAGAGGCTTTGTGTTGCTGTTTCACTGCCGCGGACGTAAATAATACA